CGCGTACGATTCTTCGTCGGAAAGAAGTGGCCTGTACGATTCTTCGTCGGAAAGAAGTGGCCTGTACGATTCTTCGCTGGAATATATCTGCGCGTACGATTCTCCGTCAAAAAGAAGCGATGTGTACGATTCTTCGTCGGAAAGAAGTGGCCTGTACGATTCTTCGCTGGAATATATCTGCGCGTACGATTCTTCGTTGGATATTTTGTGGAGTACGATTCTTCGTAGGAGCCGTCGATTTATACCTGTATACGTAACGTCTCTCAACTTCAAAATTTGAAATAAACAAAGTGGAGAAAGATAAAATTGATAAGACCTGCAAGAAAAGCTCTAAGTCATTAATAGTGTACAACATAATTTATTATATCGTTTTTCAAGATCATAAAATATTTTTTTACAGTAAAGATGAAATGTTAAGGAAATATTTGAGAATAAAGCAAGTCATGGGTATAGGTTGCATGTACTGTTGTACAACGTAAAACACGTGAGATGATGATTATAGGTATTATTTAGTGAGATTAAAGTTATATGGAATACCTAGCTATATGTGCATGACTGAATACTTTTACACCTATAATCAAAAGGTTTTATAGGGATCGCGTAATTTCATGTTCCAGTGTAAGTTGAATTTTTATTGCGGTGATGTCGTTAGAGGTCAAAATTGAAACAACGATCAACTCAACGATCGATATATTTATTACATGAGGGAGTATACGTCATATATGCATAGGTAGGTACAACAATATTCAGCACTCGCCGGTTTTTTTGGATTTATAATATTTCATGTACCTCTTGCACAGCGTGTCTGATAGTGTACAAATACGATTTTTGTTGTGTAGATCAAGTTTTTTATAATGTGTATAATTTCAACAAATAAATACAAATGAAATTTACACGCTTAGGTGATTTTGATGACGAATGTGATACGATTTAATGAGTAATGCACATAATCGTATGTTTGTTAACAGTAGATTTTTTATTATTTTTGTTCTGGTAAAAAATATAGCAATCATGCAATAAGTGCAAAAGTTTGGTTTGATTGCATAAGCTTATTGGCTGTTCACTTATTATTATGATACAATGTAATTATTTATCATTTATCTTTTCGTTATTACCATATATAATACGATGTTTGGCTTTATTCCTTTATTTATTTGAAGAAACTTTATGTAAATTTATTATTGTATAAATAATACATTAATGACCCACTGGCTAAAGAATTGCTGCTTTTGTATTTATTAATTACTTGTAATTGCACAATAGAAAAAGGTAAAGTGCTAACTGTCCTCATCATGTAAGCTGTTAATGCAATTGATATGTCCACCATGGTAGTCCAGGAGCCGTACCATATAACTTTTTTTAGCTTCGCGGGCCTATGTTATAACATAGGCCGATGTACAGAAAAATAGTTATATGGTACGGCCCCAGTAGTCTCACGTATTTTTAAAAGTATTTGCTGAGCAACCTCGACAACTTTCGACTTTGAAAAAGTTCTGGTAAATTCTGGACAATTGTCCTTTTGAAGGTTGGTGGCTGTCTCTATAAAAGGCAGATTTGTCAATTTTTCTGCAATTCGGTGGGCATCAAGTTTCACTTGACAACTTTCTCTTTTGGAAATAAAAATACAATGGAGCTGATACATGCAAGTTTTTTTGCAAAGCATATTTAGAAAATCCCAGATCAGAATACCGGTTTTTTTTTTGTAATTGTATTATATTAGAATAAAAATTAACAAAAACAAACGACAAAATTTGTTTTATAAGTTTATTAACGATTTTTTGATTCATTTTTTCAATTAAAACAATTGTTTAATAAACTGTTCTTTCAACTAAGAGTACAGCATTGTTTACATAAGAACAAAATGCCGCTATCAAAGTTACAACTGAAGCAGACGACAGTGTAGTAATTTAGCTCATATATATGTATTTGCTTATATAAAATGCATTAACTATAAGCGCGCTATTGATACTTAGTATCGATACACTTGTACCTATATCAATACCTATATACATATACAATAAATTACATCATAGATGATAGGTCTCAGTACTTATTGCAGTATACTTATGGCCTAGCGACTTGAACTTAGCACGACTTTCGGCCAACTTTTATCTGCTCGTCGCCTCGTCGGCTACATAAATATAATCAACTTTTTTCATCTACTTACCTACTCACTATACCTACCCTACGCTGAACGCTCACTTCCTGTAAAACTCACTATGGGCTAGTGTCCACAGCGGAGGGTCTATTGGAGCGGCTCCGCTAGACCTATGCCCACATTCTAAAAATTCACTAAGAAAATTTTCTAGGCTATAGTGTCCACAGCGCAGGGTCTATTGGAGCGGCTCCACTAGACCCTACGCATACTTCCTGTAAATTCACTCGTAAAACCGGTAAAACTCACTATAGGCTAGTGTCCACAGCGAAGGGTCTATTGGAGCGGCTCCGCTAGACCCTACCTAAAATTCACTAAGAAAATTTTCTAGTCTGTACAGTGATGGTAAGTAGCGGAGGTTTATTGAAGCCGCTACAATTCCAATAGACCCTGCGTTCACTTCCTAAAAATAAACAAGTGAAACTTGCTATGCTACTTAATGACTTTTGACCAACTTTCGTCGGCTTCGAAGAGTTTGAAGCCTTCGGCTATGATTTTTGTTTAATGTTTATGATCAGCGCCATCTAGCGAAGCTAACTCCAAACTAAAAAAACACCATATTTCTTCTGAAAGAAAGTCACTAGCAAAAGTTACTAGTCTAGTGAAATTTTTCCGCCGATAATTTCTCCAAATTTCGACCTATAAAACTCATACATAAGATGCAAAGCCGATAACAAATTTATTGCAGGGTCCCAATGTGTCGGTAATTACCGACAGTCGGCAATGCAGAAAGCAAAAGACGAGATACCACCAGGATTTCGTACGGGTTCTGTCATGCCGACTGTAGATAATACAGACGATCGGTATTTACCGACTTTTTGTTGTCGGTATGTCAGGAATTTAACGTTAACACTAATCCAGCAGGACTCTGCAATAAATTTTTATCGGCTTTAGGTCTTTTTTGCATATGTATGCACATTTTGACGGTCGAAATTTGGATAAAACATTAGCGGAGAATTTGCACTAGACTAGTAACTTTTTCTAGTGACTTTCTTTCAGAAAAAATTTCGTGTTTTTTTTATTTTGGGATCGTTCCCGCTAGATGGCGCTGATAGTAAATAAAAAAAAATCATAGCCGATGAAAGTTGGCTAAAAAAGTCATTAGCTCATAGTAAGTTATATTAGTGAATTTTTAGATAGTGAGCGTAAGTAGGGTCTAGCGGAGCCGCTCCAATAGACCCTCCGCTACGGACACTAGCATGTAATAAGTTTTCTTAGTGAATTTTCAGTATGTGAGCGTAGGTCTAGCGGAGCCGCTTCAATAATAGACCCCTTATGACGGCTATGACACTATATATAGTTTAGGAAGTTTCACTAGTGAATTTCTTTGAAAGAATTATGGTGTGTTTTGTTAGTTAGACTAAGTTTGAAATCAGCCTCGCTAGATGACGCTGATTATGTGGTAGCTGGATAATAAAAAATAAAATACTAAAAATTTTATGAAATATAAAACACATCTCAAATCATCTATTTATTAAAAAACCATTAACTGAACGAATACAAGTGTCCGTTCTCAGAGATTTGTAACAAGTTATTGTAGTGTTTAAGAGAAGGTGGCGTAAGAAATCCCCTTTTTTCTCTCTTCCTTACGATGATGAAAAATGTCAATAAATAAAAAATACGTCCGCTTCTAGAATGTAGTCAAAAAATTTCTTCGGGAACTTTACGATTAGCCTTGAAACTCTTTCTCACGATAAAAATAATCAATATGTTTATTACATGTAAGTATACATATGTTTCAGACTTCAGAGGGTGAGCTGAGGGAGTTTAGTAATTTACCGCGTTTTTGGGCTCCTTGGTGTCCTTGGGCATCTTCCAATGGGAATGGATTTTGCGAAAGAAAAGGACAGCGCTAATGGCGTCACAGTTTTCAGTATGGCGTTGATGTTTGTGCTTGAAGGGAGCTAAAGCAAACATCTGCAGCTGCAGCAGCTCTTGTGTTGTGAGGGTCACTTTTATCTTGTCTCGCAGAACAGCGTTAGCTTCGCTGAAAACTCGGTAGAATAAGCACACCCTCGTGCACCATCATCAAAGAGAGTGACGGAGAGAATCGTCAAGATAATCTCTTCCTACGGGTGTTCTGTAGGAGACGTAAAAAACCGTGGACGGGATCTAGTGCGCGTGTGTGTAGTGTGCGAGTGTGTGCGCGAAGAGCGCAAACAACAGCCAGCACGACGACGAGACCTTCGGCACCGAGGAGCTGCTGTAGGCCGCCTCAGGGTCGCCCTGCTGGCACGCGGTCGGTCTCGAGGAGAAACAGCAGCGGCGTCAGTAACCACGAGAACGGAAGGAACAACTGCTACGACAATAGCAGCAGCAGCAACAACAGCAACAAGAAAATGACGGATCCCTCGGAATTGCGCATGAATGTTGCCGCGCTCAAGCGCGTCGATCCCTATGCCAAGGACATCCTCGAGACCGCGACCCACGTCGCCCTGTACTTATTTATCAGTGAAGCCAACGAATGGGAAAAGACCGAGATCGAAGGCGCTCTTTTTATCTACTCGCGCATTGGCGAGCCCTACAACAGCTTTCTCATCATGAATAGGTTAGTGGCGTCATATTTTTTTTCAAGTTATATTGTACTGAACAAATTTGGAGAATTCCTTGAATAAGTATTGCACTTCTAAATGTTGTTCCCGCGATTCGTATCATACGGTAAAAAGTAGAGAGGTACACACATAAGTAATTATGCACTGCCGTCTACACACAAAACGTGCGCAGAAACGAGAGAAATGATAGAGGAAGCGGGTTATTTTTTGAAACAGCATGTACCTACCTATGCGTGTGTGGATGTTTTGCTTGTTTTTGGTTTGTTTACGCGTAGATGAGTGATGGTATACAAACGAGAGTCGTTCGATTATAGAATCGCTATTCGTGAGATATTCGATTTGGAGAGATTCAGTTTTTAGTTAAAATTAAAAGGCGTTATAATATCTCTTGGTATGTATGCCTGATCTTGAATGTGAAATTCCGTGATCATTTTAAGCCTAAGATGTTGGTCATGGAGTAACCAGGTGATATGTGTTTTGTTTCAGATTAAGCACTAACAACCAAGTAGAGCCAGTGACTGAAGCTCTAGAAGTGCAGTGTCAAGAGCCCTTCTTGCTGTACAAAAATGGAAAGGGCATCATTTATGGTATTTGGTTTTACGACAAGGACGAGTGCATAAGAGTAGCAAGCATGCTGACAAAACTTGCCAAGGAGTCGTTCCAAGATACTCCGAACAAATCAACGCCAAAGAACAAAAAGCAGCCGCAAAGTGTACAGAAAAAGTCCAACGTTGATATATTTAGTATGCTGAGTAAAGCCCAGGAAGATTTTAACTCCAACAAATGTAACAACGTCATCAAAGGGTCGAAAGTTATGGAGCCCAAGTCACCCATGAGTAATGCTATTAGTGAACTGTCTGGAGTACTATCCGCTACGGCTCCCGATGTCACGTCAAAGAGCGTTATGGACTTCTTTGCTAAGGCTAAGGTCAGCAACACAGGACAATACAATTCTGGTGAGCATCAGGATTCATCGAATGCTGTTAACGAAGGAAAGCCGCTGTTGGCACGTTTGATGTCTCATCCGGCAGCACACACGGTCGAGCACATTGAAAAACAACAGAGATCAACTACCCCTCAGCCAACTCCTTCTCAATCAGGAATGATACCCGTAAATAATCAAAGGTAGTTAATCTTTTAAATATTATTTTATGGTAAGTTTCAAATTGAAGTTAGAGTTCTGAAAATTTTTTTTATGTTGCAGCTGTGAAAATTCAATACTATCGAAATTACAAAAGTGTAAAATGCCAACAAAAAATTCAAATACAGTGGGACATCTTTATAACCAAGAATACAGTGGACTGAATTTATCAACGTGCAGTGGTGCTATGAACCGTTCGGAAATCTCCACTATTCCTGCTGAGGAATCAAATTCATCTGGTTTCCTTAGGATACAATCTCCCGTAGCTACTCCGAGCAAAATGAACAATCAACACAAAAACTCAACGAATCTTGAAAATGCGTTTGACAAGCTGTTTAGGGCAGGGAGTCCAGTTACAGCAGCAGAAAATGTTTATCAGCATAATTCAACGGTAATAAGTCAATGAATTATCTATGAAAAAACTAATTTCAACAAATTGGATGGGATAAATTTACTAACAAACAATTACTCTTCTCTTGTAGGCCTGTGATGACTTGTATGCGCCGCTTACACCGAAATCTTCGACCGCAGGCAACGACACGGCACCCGCATTGATCCCACCAGGTATGTTTGCAGCACCAAGCCCTGCCGCAGACCTTCTCAATCGACCTATTGAGCCCCTCACCAGGAATCAGTTACTTCAAGCCTTCAGTTACCTGTTACGCACCGATCCCGAATTTGTCAACAAGCTACACGAAGCGTATGTCAAATCCTTCAGTGAAATACTTTCCTAGATGTGCACGAAAGCATCAACGAGAGAGCGCCGCGACGAGCCATTTATTTAATTTTTTTTTTTTTTATCATTAACGTTGTCTTGTTTGTTGTCCATGTAAGAGGAAGTCGGATGAAATGAACTGGCAAAAAACTCTGAGACAAGAGTTTTAAATGCGTGAGCATGTCTTGTATGCGAAACATACGTAGCATTCTTGTTGATGCTCCCCTCGTGATTTTACGCTTGTGACTTTTTATTTTGTCTGTGTGTGTTACACGTACGAACTCACCGTTTGTTCGTTGCTGGTGACGAAATATATTGTAAATGCAGACTCTAAAGTATGTTGACTGAAAAATGAAGCACGCTCTCGCTGATCTACTGTTTTTTCGTTGAGCGAAGTTTAACGTAAATGTTATTCCTATCGAACTAAACTTGAATTGTGATGTATCTATCGTCCCGACTTTTTAAAAGCGTCCTCGTAACTCGACAAATGAAGAAAGCCGAGCGTACTCGAAGCAGTATTTTTTTATCACAATGTATGAGACAGAACGAATGAGTTGACGGGACGCTTAAATTTACTTCAAAGAAAACGCATGAAGGGATGGTCAGCACGAGGACTGTTTCGGCAGATAGAGCGTGATATCCTGTTTGTCTTGGTAGAAGAACGTGATAAAAAATTTTACTAAAAAAAACCTCTGATGCCAAAAGTAAGGAAGATTTGTAAAAATAATGAAAAAAAAAATTGAAAAACTTTTTTACTGCGATGCTTCAGAGATTGACGCTGTACTTACTCCGTAGTACGACAAGAACGATTCATTTTATGAAGTATGGTGCGCACCAGCTCTTAAACGAAAAAAAAATGGAAAACGTTCTCTGGTTGCGTACAGATGTGTTTATGTTTGAAATTAAAAGAAAAAAAAAGAAACGATTATCAACAGTAACAAAAAAAAAATTGAAGATTAAAATGTGGCATGAGAAACAAATAAAAAAGATTACCAGATTTTGCAAAAATTGTTTTGTGTATTTCTTATTTTTTCAGTACTCGATCTCTCTCGAGAAAGACCATTTTACATGTCATGTTGTATCATATAACGGTGTACAATCATCATATAACCATTAATTGATGAGACATATCATTTCTTATTATCACAATATCGTGTTTTTTTTTTTTTTTTTGTAATGGAATACGATTAGAGTTATTATTGAGCTTCACTACACTTACATATACAATATATAATGTATGTACTCATTTCTACATATGTTTTTTTTTATTTTTTTAGCATTGTATTTGTATTTCTAAGTAACATAAATTCTTTCTGACAATAAGTTCACGCGAATTTGTGAGCAAAAATAACGAGAAAATTTATAAGACATCCGCCGCATCAATAAATCGACAAGCGAGATATTTTCATCTATTCGCGTTTCAAGGCAGCCAGTTGGTGTAAAATATTTGTTTTATTACGCATAACGCTGATACATATGGTCAACTTTTTTTTTTTTTTTTTTTTTTTTTTTTTTTTTTTTTTTTTTTTTTTTTT